GAGTGGGGCTGTCACTCCAATGATAATGTGAGTAAAATGTACTGTTAATTATCAGTGAGTTACTCAACAAAATAAATCTAAACCAAATTGATCATTATACATATCTTCTTAAAAATATGGTGATTGGGCAAAAATAAATATTCACCAAACTCAATAAAATAACTTGGGCATTTACTGAGGTCTAGCAAGAGTGAGAGTAGTGGTGTTATTGCAGAGATTAGATGATATGGTTCACTGTTCAACTGAGACCGCCAAACACAGCCTTCTTAACCTGTTCCATATCACAGTTTTCACAATCACGGAGTATTTCTTTAGAGGCTACATCTGTTCGGCTGAGATACAGTATTATGGTAGACTTCAGAGTGCACATTATATTATCTGCAAATAAAAGCAGGAGTATAAATTTCTTCTACTTTCTACTAAAATAGGAAGTAGTAGATATTAAAATGTTTTGACAGCTCCTCGATTCAATTTGTATTGCAGTAACGACCCCAAGATACATTATACTCACAATGAAAGTCGGTCTGATATTTTGATTATTATCCTTACCTGTCAAGTTCTTCAATCCAAGTTCTTGAAGCCCAACGTTCCCATCTTTTCTGTAGTTTAAAAATATTGCCAACGCATATCGATCCTCATAAAGTTTTGTCCCACGAATAATGCGCAAATTCTCCAGAGGCAAGTAACGAAACTGGTTTAGAGCCACTAACACGTAGCCCGTGACTTCTCGAACAGACTGAAACGACAAAACCCATTAAATATATTAAAGATCCCCTATCAGTATGTGTATGTAGTTCTTTCGATAGAAATGTGTTATTTCACTCTCTTTTACAGCTTTCAATTTAATATATCAATTTCCACACCACATTGCTAATCTGAGATCACAGAATTAGAATGTCATTGGATGTATAAACTGTATTTGGGGGAGGGTGGGGCCTTAGGGGGGAAGCTATGGATCTGCTTGAAGTAAAATAATGGATTTTGCTTTATGAGACATTTTCATACCTGAGATTTGAATAGAATTAAATGATAAAGATCTCATCCATCGAGAAACTAAAATGATTTAAAGACTCATAACAGCAGTCAGGCTTGAATTTTTTTCAAAGACCAGGTTGGCAAACATATCACACATGAGACAAAGCTATAGTAATTGGTAGACTATGGGACAGATTGAACACTGCTATATGAGCATGCAATGCCTATTTTTCAAAGAAGATATGTCTGATACAACTCTGTGAAATACATCATTCAACTACATCTATTAAAGACAGATTATTGCCTATAATTTATTAGAACCATATTATTAAACATTCATTGCATACTGTTTATTCAATCTCTGTCCAAGCTGTAGGCTGAGCAAAGAAGATGGCACAACCTTGCTAGCTATAAAGGAGGAACAGAGGCACGTGCTGATGAAGATCAAGGAGTCCAGCCTGTAAGATGAATTGCAAATCAATGTACAAAAACCAAGAACAACAAATAAAAATCTCACAAATGGAAAAATTGGTAACATCATGATTAACAGAGAAAATACTGAAGTTGCTAAGGATTTCATCTGCAATCAGTGAGTATGGAAGCAAGAGGTAAGACATCACAGGACGCATGTAGTGCGCTCCATAAAGCTGAGGGATTTAGAATGTTGACGAGCAAAGATGTCACTTTGAGATCTAAGGTATACCTGGCCCCAGTATTTTCATTCCCCTTCTATGCATACACATGTTGCACATGGAGTAAGGAAAGACCTAAGAAGAATCCATGTATTTGAATTATGGAGATGGGGAAGAACAGTCACAGTTCCGTGGAGGTAGAGCAAACAGATCTCTCTTGAAAGAAATACAACTAGAATGTTCCTCAAAAGTGAGGATGGCGAGACTTCCTCTCGTGTTTTGGAAGTGTTTTGAGAAGAGGAGGATCCCCTACGGAGCTACATTCACACACAGTGGCTGCAGCATAACACTCCTGGATTTGGTGAAGGAAGGGGGCGATAACACTCCTGAATTTGGTGAAGGAAGGGGGCGATAACACTCCTGAATTTGGTGAAGGAAGGGGGCGATAACACTCCTGAATTTGGTGAAGGAGCGGGTGGTGTTTCCTTTTGTACACAGAGTGAAGCTACGAGCAGGGATCAACCGCAGCATCAGGGCCGGCACTATGTCTGCGAGTCAATTGCTTATAACACAGCGTGGATATTTGGATACTTGTTAGATTTTTAGAATGTCCTGTGGTAGGGGGTGGCTTTGTGATTCATCTAAATGTATTCTTCATTAGTAAAATAAAGACACTCCTATTGCGGTTAATGCAATACATAAAATGTATTTTAACTGAGAATACAAACGTGCTGAAATATTTGGTATCATTTTAGTACCCATTTCACATTGTTTTAGAGATCTTAATTTCAGAACATCCTTGGTTTAGTCCCTTGTATTTTTTAATCTATGTCTACTCTCACTTCTTAGGTGATATCTAATCTCAGGGCTATCTCCCAACTCTGCCCTAATCTCTAGCTAGGGCTAGATAATCTCTAGATATGGTTAGATAACCGACTACCTTCCCCCTTGACTATAAAAGATGCTTCCCCAGAACGCCTTTGGTCTTTACCCACTTCTCCAGCAGGGGGTGATCGTGTCAAAGCAGTTTCTTGGCGTCATCTTTGGCTCTCTTCTCACCCACCTCAATCAAAACATACAATTTGTTCTACCAATGTCAGAATGGTCAGCAATCCAAGCATGTTGTACATTATCCAGTGCTTCCATCTGTGTCACCATCATTTCTCATTCTGTTTCCACTTGGAACTTTTAGGGTAGAATCCAGGTTAATTTTAATTATAGGACATAGGTCAGCATGACATGCTATTACTTAAATCCGTCCTAATGGTTTTGTATCTTGCCTACTACATTTCAGTTACTAGTTCTTCCATTATGCCAGGCGTTCCCACCATAAGGTGTTCACTCTGTTCCTGAGGGCTTGAGACGCTCTCCCTATTGCTGCCATCACGTGTTTGCTCCAATCTCATCTTCTCAGTTGGTGCCCAAGTCTGGTTGAACGATTGAATACTGCCTTCTATCCTCTGGCTTAGTTCGAGTTTTGTTTTTCCACACAACTCCTCATCTTCTAACGAACTATATGATTTAAATATCTATTACACATTATTGAGAATCTTCATACTCATTTCAAAATATAAGTCAAACAAGAATAAGGTTTTAAATGTATTCACTTGTATGTCTCATATGACCAGAACAAAACAACCCACACAAACATGCTGAGGATGCTGACCCTTCTCTGCCGATTCCTTCACCCACTGGGAGCCCACCTTCTCATCTTCCAGACAATGATCCAAACCCCTGTGATCTCAGAATGTCCTTCCCAAATAGCACACCCCCCATCCAGGGCCTGGTGAGACAATCTTTCTAAACTATAATCCATGGAAAGCAGACGGTGCCAAGAGTGCACATACATCTAGGAAGAAAGGGTAGTTAAGATGCAGAAGCTGAGGGGAGAGCAGATGGAGCCTGGAGGTATATTCAAGCTAGCATCTCCACATGTTTATGGAAAAGAGATCTCATAATACTGAACAGGACTGGGATGGGGACGACTTTCAGGATTTGATTCATCTTTCTCTTCATGCCATCACATGTCTGAAGAGTCTAAGTAATCTCATTCTGTACCTGACCAACTAAGGATTATAAAATATGCCTGTTAAAAGTGAGGGAACTGAACATATTTTATTTAGGAATATATATATTTTCATATTTATATTTAGTAGTCCTAGTTGCATAGTGGTTATTTCGTTGGGCTGCTAAACAAAATGTTAGCACTTCCATACCACCAGCCACTTCTTGGGAGAAAAGCAAGGCTTTCTACTTCTGTAAAGAGTTATAGTCTTAGAAAACCACAGGGGCAGTTCCTCCTTGTCCTATTGGGTCACTATGAGTCCGTAACAACCAGATAGCAGTGAGTTGAGTAGAGTAAATTTAATTTATAATAAACATTAAGACATAGAATCTGAGACTGATGGCTCCAGACCCAAAATTTTAAGGGTTAAGCATAAAATCATGAATCACACAGAGGAGGGGAATCCTAATGAAGCAACAATGGAGATAATGAGACAAGTAAGATATGAAACTACTTATGCATGACAGTAACTGGGGACTTTCGCGCCACGGTGGGCCATCCTGAGATGCTGAGTATGAGGGAAAGAAGTAACCAATGCTTTTAAAATGGAAAGAAGGGGAGAACATCCCACGTGGCAGATACTGCTTGTAGAACCCCACAGATCTGCAGTTGTTCCTGCCGGAATCTTCTAGCCCTTCCACCTTATGTAAATATGATCTGGTATCATCTGTTCTCACAGGTAAGATGCTCTTTTTCATTATAAAAACTATCTTACTATTTAACTGGTACGCAGTGAATGCCCAGCACTCTAAATCCATAGCATAGGTTGCAGCAGTGGGATCAATGTATTATCAAGATGGCTCAGAACATGTCCTCAGGTGCGTCATCCTTCCAACCTGTAGGTTCATCATTCACTCTTAGCCCTCAGGAAGTGGCTCATATTATCAAAAAGCTCAAAACTATGTTTTTTTTCCCCTAAAACATATCACAATAGCCATCGTCCTTTCTAACAGAGGACTCCATCATTAGCTTCAGCCTCAATAAGTAAGTGACTGTTTGCATGAAGCTGTGAAAAAAAACCCATTGCGTTACCACCAGGTAGAACAGCAAGGAGATCTATTTTACCTGATATTAAAGTAGTTACTGTAAAAAAAACACTATGTCGTAGACTCCTTCTGCTTAGGGTTGCCTGTTGTTGGCGGTGATCCCGTTGCTTCTGCTTGCTGGTCAAACCAGAGAGCAGAGGATGACTGTTCCCAGGCTGTGATGTTTGGGAAACAGATCACTCAGTCTAACTGCTGAGGAATTCGTAGGCAATATTTCAAAAGCTGAATAAATTTTGAAAAAATTCCTATGCATAATTTTTGTAGAAAAGAAAAATAACTGACAAAGAGTAAATTCTATTACAGATGATACTTTTGCTGATATAACCAACTATCTTTGGATCTAGATGGATCATTAAAAAGAACTATAACAGCATTGCGTATAAATACTTGCTTTTAATCTCTTTGCTAGTTCACTTAGGGGATATTATAAATCGCCTTTTCAACTTTTAATATATTCCCAAATGAAAAGATTAATTCCTTATGCTTTTTTTCGGTATACACTATATCCTTTAGTACAAATATTAGCACTGAACATTTAATAGTGGCTGCTGGATGAAGTAGAATTCAACACGGGGAAACAATGCTTAAGGTCTTTTTTGGGAGCCTTATTGCCATGACTGAGTGGTGTGGACTGCTAACCTTGAGATCAGTGGTTCAAACCGACCACTGGCTCCTTGGGTGAAAAATATGCCTCCCTGCTCTGGTCAAGATTTACATCCTTGTAAACTTTATGTCGTGTGAGATAGAATGGACTCAAAGGAAATGGGTTAAGATATTTTTAGATATTGTAGATATCATTAGCCATAGAAATAATTATACTAATGTACTGTTAGTAAGGCACATTAAACAACGGAATCCTGATTTGTGCCGTGAAAGTACAATACCCACTGAGTTAATTCTGACTCTGAGTGACATGGTAGGATGGAGTAGTTCTGCCCTATAGGATTCCTTCAGGTGAAATATTTATGGAAGAATATCGACACATCGTTCTCCCCTGAGCAGCCAGTGGGTATTATTG